AAAATGTTTCAAATAATATGCAGCCTTGTACTGCACACTGTACACTAACTGAGGTTTCATTAGAGCATTAGAAAAAGTGCGATGTGTCGTATGTGTAGGGAATGGAATGTATTGGCATACAGCTAGCGCCTTAAATCTGCTCCCATGGCATCAAATCTATTTTTTTGACTTCAACCAAATCCCAGAGGAGATGCAGCCTACCCTTCTTACCAGTTTCATTTTCGCTTCTGATGTAACTATCGCATTTCCTCTGGACTTAACTTTTGTTTCATGTCTCTTTTGGGAGGAATCATCATCATCCATTTGCCAAAACTGCCTTCCACTTTATTACAGACCTTTGTACTTTCTTGTCCCTCTTTCCCTTGTCTCTCAACTTGCTGTTCCAATGAAAAATCACTGACCTGAAACATAATTCTGTGAGTGCCCCAAGATTTTAACTGACATGCTCAGCAGTTCCAAAAATTTTCTGTCTTTATTTTCTGTAATTGGCTAAATTGATTAAATTAATGAGCTCATACATAAGCTTTGGGAGATTTCAAATTTTATCAAATCGTACCTAATTTGGATGCTGTCATTTCCAGTCTGCAGCAGCTTTAAAACTGAAAAATATTCCAAGGCTACAGAAACATCTATAGAAAAAGGACCCAAGCCAAAAGGAGGAGACTTAGAGGGATGATTAAAAGCGGAGTTCAAATATTGCTTTGGGAAATTTTGCTTTCAGGAGGTGACCATATCCTATAAAACCAAATGAAAACAGAACGATCACGAGGCTGAATCTTACACGTTTTTTTGGTTAAGTGTCAGTTTTGTTGTGTTTCTTGAAGGGGGTATATTACCAAACTCACTGTATCTTACCAAACCCACTTCATTAACTACCTTCCCATCCCTGGGCACCCCTCGCACCTAATTCTATCCCCACCTTCTAATGCACCATTCCTGTAACAACTTGCTGCTGCCAGGATATCCCAGAATTGACTAGCATCCATGGAGCTAGCATCTGGACAAACACTGCTAGTCTGGAGCCACCTTGAATGTTTCCTGTCATGGTAGACATGGGAAAATTGACAACTCACTTTGCAGGCAGTGACCTGGAGGCTCTGCTAGATAGGGTGGAGCAGAGATGGGACATCCTCTTCCACCAGGACTGGCAGGGCAGTGGATGTCACAACACCAGATCATACTAGCCTATTCTAAGGGTTCCACCCAGGTCAGTGCAGTTTCAACCCCCTGGAGGAATGTACAGCAATGCAGGAAGAAGGTCAATAGTGATCCGCCAATATAAGTGCCATCATCTTCTCACTTGTACCTCATGCTCACTCGGCTAATGAACCCAACTCCCGCCAAGGCTCATGTTCTACCACACTCACTACCGCAATATCTTCCCTCACTTGCTCACATGCAGCACAAGCCCTCCAAACCACTAATCCTGCATGCCGTCTCTGCTGCTTACTCACTCACTCAAGACATATCTGCACCTACATCAAAAGTACCTGCTGTGCTACCCACTTTAGGCTTCCTAAGTAGCTGCCACTCTCTCATTCCAAGTGGAAAACAGCACCCAATAGGGCAGAAAGTGTCAAGATGGGTGGTAGGCTGCCAGACATTTGACACCTTACCTTTTACGATGAGGGGATATTGACTCTGACTACTCCAAGTGGCTGGGTGGGGCTCTCTGATGGGCCGAGGTGGTCTTTAGTGATGAAATCTGTCTTCCTATAATCAGCCTGTGCAAGGAAACCTTCTGGGTTGGACACTTGGCATGAGCTCCTCAGGCAATCAATTAAACTTATGTGGGATCCCCTTGACACCCTGTGGACATCTGACTCTACCACCTCGCAACCACTCCTGAACCCAATCCCTAACTCCTCCCAATCCCTTCAGACTTGAAGCCACCTCCACTCCCACTCTCCATGGACCTGATCCAACCCTCACTGCACAGGTTAGACCCCTCACCACTCCAGTCCAGAGCTCTGTGTCCCCCACCCTCGGACTTGACCCCTTCAACAACTAAGCCACAGACCTGAAGCCCCTCACCCCTCAATCCCCTATATGACACCAAATCCCACAACAAAGAGATGTGGAGAGGGTAGGAGTCTTGGGGAGTTGGGGAGGGTGGTGGTAGGGACACCTGGGGAGAGGGTTGTGGTGTGTACCAAAAGCTGAAGGTCAAGGGAGTCCAATCCAAGGAGGTGTTGGGTCTGGAGGGTCCATGGACTGTTGGGAGTGAGGGAATGGGAGGTTAAGGTCCTTGGTGGATTGGAGTGGGAGAGTTGAGGATTGGGGATAGGGAGGGGAGTGGGAAGTCCGGTATCTGTGGCAGGTTGGATGGACAGGTCAGTTGAGAGTTTGGAGGTCATTTTCATAATCAACCAAGAGTTAAAAGAGGTTTTAGTCTCGCTCACATTTCCTGGCTGATTATTAAGGTAAGTTTGAATCATCTGAAGTCTTGACACTAACTCAATTGGTGATAATTTTTCAAGGGTTCCAGACACTAGATAATTGCTCACCAGGATTTTCAACTTCCTGGGCAATTCCTATGGAGTCAGCTACGGTAGGGCAACCCATCTTCAAGGATGAAATGACAATCTTCCCAGTGAAAGGTGTAGACCTTTATTAAATGAGTAGGTTCATGCCAACCCTAGTATGTGTGTAAAGAAATGTAGTCTTTGAAGTGAGAAATCACTTTACTACCAAGCCACAAAGATCCAAATGTAACATTACAGTCTTAATCACAATAGGATTAAAGTAGCATTAATTCAGGAAACCTGCAAATAAAGGGGTAAGCACTGATTTCTTAAAATCCTGCCTGGTATGAGAAAATACAAAGGCAAGCTTACAAAGTTGGAGATAATACCAATTTGACAGAGAAGCTTAATGATCATTGGGATAGAAATGTTTATCTACTCTATTCAAAACCTTCATAATTTTAAAGCACCATATATGCACCATAGAAAGCATTCTATCCGGACACATTATGGCATGGTATGGCAACTGCTCTGCCCAGGACAGTAGGAAACCACAGAAAGTTGTGAACATAGCCCAGACCATCTTGCAAGCCAACCTTCCATCCATTGACACTATCTATGCTTCTCACAGTCTCGGGAAGGCAGCCAACATGATCAATAACCCCTCCCACTTGGTCATAATCTCTTCCAGTTTCTCCTGTCGGGTCAAAGCTACAAAAGCTTAAACACATGTACCAACAGATTCAAGACCAGCTTCTTCCCCGCTGTTATTAGACTTTTGAATGGACCTCTCAAATTTTAAATTCAATGTTTATCTCACTCTTTGTGCACCTTCTCTGCAACACTAGCAGTGTATTCTTCGCTCTGTTCTATTACTCTTATGCACTTTGTATGGTATAATCTGTCTGTACTGCACACAACACAAAACTTTTCACTGTACCTAGGTACATGTGACAATAATAAATCAAACCAAAAGCAGTTTCCAGTGTCTAGGGTCCAGATGACAAAGGTACAAAATTATTTCTACAAGATTTAGAATTGAGGACAAAAGGGATTTTTCTTTTTCCAATATACAGGATATTGAACTAGTGAGGCCGTGATCGAAGTTAGCAATTGACGCAGAAAGCATTTCAATATTTAAACACATATTGATAGGTGGTTGCAGGAAGAAGGGATACAGCAAAAGGGATAGAGAGATATAGAAGGGGGAATAAGGGAGTTTGAAGAGAGGGATAAAGGGGCAGTGAAAGAGTAATAAAGGGATGTGGATAAAGGAAGGTGTGCATTTGTCTGGAGAACAGATTGGACTAATGGGCAGGCAGGTTTGGTGGGAAAATGACTGTAATTCTATGTAATCTTGCCAGGTTCACAAAAAGAAGCCAAGGGAAGAGCTGGATGAAAAATGAACAACCTTTTGCACAGGAAGCATGTCCATTTTCAGCTCGTATTCTGGGGTCATTGGTCTCTATATGTGACGTGTACTGTAGCAACCAGAAATTCCTGTTTGTCACTTATCAAACAAAGAAATTTTAGAAAACCAGTTGCTCATCATTTCAAGGTAACTGCTCCACCAACTGAGTTCAGAGCAACCCACTCATGATCCTATTGCTCAATGTATATGCTGCAATTTCAACAAGCAAATACTGCCTCTGCCCAAGTTATTTTCCCTGCTTACTATATTTCTCACAGCATTCCAAATGGGATGTATTTAAAGAATACACGGCCTGTTCCAAAAATATCAATCCTTTTAGTTCTGGAGGTAATGACTCATGGTACTGTATTACAAAATGGATGCTGAAACACTGCATTACCTCACTCGCCTAGGGTTGAAAATGACAAGCTTGTTCCTTTGGAGCACACAGGAATTGAGCTTGATCCTGTCATCAACTGAAGGTTGCACAGAACAATTTTCTGCAGTGATCAGGAACAGAAATTACTGCACCCCTTCTCCGAGCCTTAAATGTGTTGGATCAGTAGAGGACAGTGGACTTTCTGAATTAGTTTGAACTCTTATTAGCACTGACTTGGATCAAATAAAGTCCAGTCTGGAACCTTGTGAGCCCATATGATTTAGTTTCTTTTGGGCTCTGAACTCACCAATTAAGTTACCAGGAAAGCAGCTTACTTGAGAATCAAACATCTTCTCCAATCCATCAGTGACCAGGTTTTCAAGTTATAAAGAGTTTTTGCCTGGTCACTGATCACATTTTACCTCATTACATAAGTCAGAGATTCATCTTAACACTTCTGTAGGATGTCAATTGATCAGGTTACTTTAAATGAACGTTTTACTCAGGCATTATTTGTGTTAATAATTGCAGTGGAAAAAAATGCAACAATGTGGGAAAGTATATCATTGACATTAGAACATTATGAATTTTTATTCAATTTTAAGCACGGGCCTGGATAATTCAGCACACAGTAGTTTCCTTTATCGATATCCTCAAAGGAAACAGCCATGTAAGATTTGCATGGTCAAACAAGAGATTAATGTAAAACTAGAGAGCAGCAACGAAACAGAAAACCAATACTTACTGTCAAGCGTTTTGAAGCATCCACCTCGATCATTCCCTTTAAGAGATTTTGGCAGTCCGGCGGTATAAAATGTGGCATGTGAAACACTCCACGCTTTACTTTTTCCAATAACTGTCTCAGATTATCATCATCAAATGGCAGTGCTCCCTATGAAAGCAGGCAAGTTCAGTATTTAACACTTATTTTACAAGATAACTGTTAGAGAATCATGCTGGAAGTTCAATGAATACATTTTTCTTTTTGAACTTTTCTGCACTTGTGTTATAGCAACCAGTCATTAATTTAATAAGGCTAGGATAATTATACTTCAGGTGATATTTCACAGTGGGAAAAGGAACTCTGATTTTCTCAACTATCATCTGTTTATATCTATGCTCTAGCTGGTATGAAGCACCTCTCATTGTCTTTGATGTCCTAAAGTATTGTAAAACCAAATAATTACCTTTAAAGTTCATAGGAAACAGAAATCAGTCTGTGCAAAACAGCTCCTACAAGGATCAATGAGATAATGATCAAATAATCTGCTTTTAAGGAAGTAGGATCAGGGATAAAAACACCAGGAAGAGCACCATTTTGTGCTCTTCCTTGAACTTTTTTATGGGATTTTATGAGGAAACTGACATGACCTTGCTTTAACAATTCATGTGAAAACATCGCACCTCTGACCATATAGCTTGACACATAGATACCCTCAAAATTACATGTAAGTTCCAGCTTAGACCAAGCAGTCAAGTCTCTGGGCTGGGATAAGAAGTGACAATAATAATAATCCATGTACATACATTTGGATGCACCCATCAGCAGTTACATGCTCAGAAATGTTTCTCATTTTAATAAGTGAAACAAGTATTCCACATTAATAATGCCCCAGCCACTATATTAATCTTATTTGACACTGTCTGTAGGAGTGAGTCTTGTGCACAGTTTTTTCCCTATTTGCATCCACTAGGAATGAGAAAATATAATGACAGGTTGCCAAAAATGACCAATTGCTCTAACTTAATTCCTCTCATTCCTTCTTCGAAGTGTAGGTGGCAGTGGTACTGGGACAGGAGCAATGATTCAGGCACAAATGCACCTACCTGTACCATAAAATAATGAAACTTACGTATAAAAGAGGAAATAACAGGTAATGTAATCCATGTTAAAACTCACCATTTTAGGTCTTAGAGAATCTTAACTGAATGTCCTCTATACAGTTAAAAATAGCCCTAAAATATATTTACATTACTTCTCACAAATAAAAATAGGTGCCAGAGAGTTTCATTGCAAACAAACTCTTGCTACCTGCAAGAAAAACATCATTTGGCTTCAACAAGTGACAAACAAGTGTGGATTGTTAAACGACAAAATTCATTCGTGATGGCATCCAGAAAATATTAAAGTTGATATTTCTAAAACTTTGGAAGGAACTTTCAAGAAAAAAAAACTATAGCTTAAGTAGGAATTATTTCTGTTGTGCTGCTTTCATAGCAGTTTGTTTCTGTAAATAACTTAGATAACCAGAAAAGTGAACAAAATAAAACATGACACTGGCAGTGTAATGAACTCTGGAATGTTTGATCTTCTGAGATAAGTGTCTGAATGCAAGTGATCATTCCCACTGTTTACTGTAGATAATGAGCCTGATACAAGGATACTAAATTCAATAAACGAAACCTAATGATATTAGGTCTCATTTTAACTCTGCCTGCTGTGCAGAAATTGGACACATGGACAGTAAAAATGGTCTCTGTTGCTTAGCCCCACATATCCCAGTGCATTTCTGTAGTGTGGAATTTTAAGCAAATGAATGGGGCCTCTTCCAAAAGGTTCTTTATATATGCAGACTGTGGGGTGACAATGCAACTGGGCCTGACCCAAATTTTAACATAAGGCACAGGGGAACCCACTATGGCTTCTCCCACCGGGTCAATTTGGCACAGTCGGAGCAGAGGACGCTTTGAAAGGTGGCTGATTTTATTTTTAGAATCTCTGCAGAAGACTAAGTCCCTGATATTCCAACAGTCGGATCGTCACTGGAGCAGCTTAGACTGGAGTTGTGTGTCAGAACTGTGCGGAAACCCAGGTGCTGCAGAATCCATGGGAACTGCCTGGGAAATCAAAGGTGCCAATGGTAATTACCCTACATCTGGATCCTCTAAAGGAATTCAGTACAGACAAAAAAATTTAAAAGGTGCTGGTGCAGTTAATGGTTACCCAGGAAAAGTAAGGTAATTAAAAACCCATGGCTGAATCTTATTGGGGTCAGAGGGAAGTAGGCTATGGCAATACTTGTGTCAAAGCAGACAAGATTTCCGATGAGATTCATCTCAAAGTGAGGAGCATCTTGCTCTATCTTTTACGCTTCTCACAAGCAGTGAGTTTCTCACTGGTCAGTGCTGAGCTGCCAATTAAGAACCATTATTGCTTGTTAAATACCTTGATGATGGCCTGTTGTGCCTCAGAAATATTCAGGTTCCTTACCTTACCAAACTCGCCAAAAAGCTAAACATTGAGAAAGTTGACATGGAGACCAGAGTACGTACCTGGCAGATTCAGTTCGAGGCTTCCTCTAAAAGACTTACATGTTGAACACTGGACATGGACAACTCGAGGCACCCTCTATGTGTACACTGGGATCCACCCTCACAGGCAATAGCATCCAACATACGCGAGTCTCTATCAACCTTCATAGTACATCTTCGATTCGTTAAAAGGATTCTTCTGCACTTCACTGCTGCATGTCAGGCTGCACTGACAACTATCATTGTAAAGCTGTAGCAAGGAGCAAGCTTGTAGACTAGACTGCATCTTCGGGATCTTTGCTCACTGTCATAGTGCTCACTCACTCGGAGCCTACCTGGATCCACACAGCATCTTTGCGTTGCCTTTTTGCGCTTTTCCACCTCAACGAGAAATACCAAGCTCATATTACTTCTGCGTTGCCTTGCCTTTTAGCACAGATACAAAGCCAGGGAGCTTGTCATGGTTGTCAGCAGCCCTGAGTCGAGTCAAGGAAGACAACTATAAACCAGGGTGCCCAGTACAGTGAGCTTCAATAATTCGCCATAATTGGCAAGTTGCTGCTGTCTAGTGGGAAACGTTCCACACCACTTGTGAAAAAGGTTCAGCAAGATACTGCAGATGTCGAAATCTGCTTTATCGAATTTCTTATCCATTTCTGCCCAAAGCCCATAACATTCAGACACTTCTACAATTCCACCCAGTAACTTTCTTCATTTGGTACAGTACAAAAAACCTTGTTTGGTTTCCATCAGTAATTGCATATATGACCTTAATTTTTGTTCCAATTGCTAAAGGATTTTTTTCAAGTTTTCTTCCTCATTTCAGATCTCCATGACAGATAATACAATTCTATCAATGGTCCGATTGAGCAAATTTATGGAGATGTGCAAGTATAACCTAGACCACCAAAATTCCAGGGGAGGAATCATTTTGTAAAAGTCACGATTATTTTTTGTGATTGGGCTTTGCTAAACTACTCATAATATGACGTCAGCATTTCTCTACATCACAATTATTCTTGCCTTCTCTATTTATCATCATTATCATTTTTTAATGAGTTTTACACCCTCATTCCTTTTACATTTCAAGCATATTAAATCACATGTTTTTTATCCAACAGACATCAACAATGCACCAATCCATTAACCTGTTCCAATAAATAATAGTTCCTTGAAGTTTTGGCGAAGATCTGTAGCTGAGGTTATGGATGAGGTTGTTGACTTGCTCGCCTAGCTGGCTTGTTTTTGTTCAAATGTTTTGTCACCATGCTAGGTGACATCATCTGTTTAGCCTCCGATGAAGCGATGTTATTCTACTCCGCTTGGAATTTATACTGTCTGGTCCGTCATGGTGCGTACTGTCATTTCCGGTTCTGATCTGTATGGGTTTGTATATGGAGTCCAATTCTATATGTTTGTTGATTGCATTACAGGTGGACAACCATGCCTCTAGGAATTCCCGTGCGTGTCTATGTTTGGCTTGGGCTACTATGGTTACCTTGTCCCAGTTAAACTGATGGCCTTCATTGTCTGAGTGTACAGATATTAAGGAGAGGTCGTTATGTCGTTTTGCTGCTAGCTGATGTCTATTTATTCTGATGGCTAGTTTCCTTCCTGTCTGTCCGATGTAATGTTTGTGGCAGTCATTGCATGGTATTTTGTAAACCACATTTGTTCTGCATGTTGTGGGAATGGGGTCTTTAATCCTTATAAGCGTTTGTCGTAGAGTGGCTGTGGGCTTGTGGGCCACCATGATTCCTAGTGGCCTGAGGAGTCTTGTTGTCAGTTCCGATATGTTCCTGATGTAGGGTATTGTGGCCAGTGTGTTAGGGCGTACTGTGTGCTCCTGTTGTTGTCTGTTTTGTAGGTATCTGTGGATGAAGTTGCAGGGATATCCATGTAAAGCGAGGATCTTGTATAAGTGTTCTTCCTCTTTCCTGCGTAGTTCTGCAGTGTTGCAGTGCACCCTGGCCCATTTAAATAGTGTCCTCTTGCCGCTTTGTTTATGGGCATCGGGGTGCTTGCTGTGGAAGTTGAGGATTTGATCTGTATGGGTTACTTTTCTGTATACTGTGGTTTGGAACTCACCGTCTGTCAATCGCTCTACTTGAACATCCAGAAACGGAAGTTGATTGTTGTTTTCTTCTTCCCTTGTGAATTTAATCCCTGTGAATACGCTGTTGATGAGGTGGTGGGTCTCTTCTAATTTGTTTGTGTTTAATAGTGACAGATGTGTCACCTACATACTGGATCCACAGTTTAGGTTGAATATGGCGGGGGGGAGGGGGGCGCGGAGAGGATGGTGTGTTCTAGTCTTTGCATAACTGCTTCTGCGATGAGTCCTGAGATGGGTGACCCCATTGGTGTACCGTTGATCTGTTTGTCTATTTGACCATTAAAGACGAAGTGTGTGGTGAGGCAGAGGTCTAGTAATTTAATTATGTAGATGGAGTTGCTGGTCTGCGTTGCTGTTTCCTCTAGCAATGTGGTCACTGTTTCTTTGGCTAGTGGGATGTCAACTGATGTGAATAAGGCTGTGACGTCAAAGGATACCATAATCTTGTTGTCGCTGATTTTTACGTTCTTGAGAGTATTGAGGAAATCTTAGGTTGAGTGGATGGAATAGGGTGATCCATCGAC